ACAGATCACTATCACTCTGTAAATATAGGGACACCCTAATACACTATAAATACTATAGACAGATCACATCACTCTGTAATAGGGACACACCTGTAAATACACCCTAATACACTATAAATACTATAGACAGATCACACTCACTAAAAATACTACAGACTGATCACATCACTCTGTAATTGGGACACCCTAATACATTATGAATACTATAGACAGATCACCTCACTCTGTAATAGGGGCACCCAAATACATTATAAATACTATAGACAGATCACATCACTCTGTAATAGGGACACCCTAATACACTATAAATACTATAGACAGATCACATCACTCTGTACTAGGGACACCCTAATACACTATAAATACTATAGACAGATCACATCACTCTGTAATAGGGACACCCAAATACATTATAAATACTATAGACAAATCACATCACCGTGTACTAGGGACACCCAAATACATTATAAATACTATAGACAGATCACATCACTCTGTACTAGGGACACCCTAATACACTATAAATACTATAGACAGATCACATCACTCTGTAATAGGGACACCCTAATACACTAAAAATACTAAATATACACTATAAATACTATATAGACAGATCACACTCTGTAATCACACTATAAATACTGATCAATCACTCTGTACTAGGGACACCCTAATACACTATTAATGCTATAGACATATCACCTCACTCTGTACTAGGGACACCCTAATACACTATAAATACTATAGACAGATCACCTAACTCTGTACCAGGGACACCCAAATACACTATAAATACTATAGACAGATCACATCTCTCTGTACTAGGGACACCCTAATACACTATCAATACTATAGACAGATCACATCACCCTGTACTAGGGACACCCAAATACATTATAAATACTATAGACAGATCACCTCACTCTGTAATAGGGACACCCAAATACATTATAAATACTATAGACAGATCACATCACTCTGTAATAGGGACACCCTAATACACTATAAATACTATAGACAGATCACATCACTCTGTAATAGGGACACCCTAATACACTATAAATACTATAGACAGATCACATCACTCTGTAATAGGGACACCCAAATACATTATAAATACTATAGTCAGATCACATCACTCTGTAATAGGGACACCCAAATACATTATAAATACTATAGACAGATCACCTCACTCTGTAATAGGGACAACCTAATACACTAAAAATACTGTATAGGGACACCCTAATACACTATAAATACTATAGACAGATCACTCACTCTGTCACTATAGACAGATCACATCTCTCTGTACTAGGGACACCCTAATACACTATCAATACTATAGACAGATCACCTCACCCTGTACTAGGGACACTCTAATACACTGTAAATAGTAGAGACAGATCACCTCACTCTGTAATAGGGACACCCAAATACATTATAAATACTATAGTCACTCTGTAATAGGGACACCCTAATACACTATAGATACTATAGACAGATCACATCTCTCTGTACTAGGGACACCCTAATACACTATTAATACTATAGACAGATCACCTCACTCTGTAATAGGGACACCCTAATACACTATAAATACTATAGACAGATCACCTCACTCTGTAATAGGGACACCCAAATACATTATAAATACTATAGACAGATCACATCACTCTGTAATAGGGACACCCTAATAGGGACACCCTAATACACTATAAATACTATAGACAGATCACCTCACTCTGTAATAGGGACACCCTAATACACTATAAATACTATAGACAGATCACCTCACTCTGTACTAGGGACACCCTAATACACTATATATACTATAGACTGATCACATCACTCTGTAATAGGGACACCCTAATACACTATAAATAATATAGACAGATCACATCACTCTGTACTAGGAACACCCTAATACACTATAAATACTATAGACAGATCACTCTGTAATAGGGACACAAATACATTATAAATACTTATCACATCACTCTGTAATATTTTCACCCTAATACACTATAAATACTATAGACAGATCACATCACTCTGTAATAGGGACACCCAAATACATTATAAATACTATAGACAGATCACATCACCCTGTACTAGGGACACCCAAATACATTATAAATACTATAGACAGATCACATCACTCTGTACTAGGGACACCCTAAAACTAATACACTATAAATACTATAGACAGATCACCTCACCCTGTACTAGGGACACTCTAATACACTGTAAATAGTAGAGACAGATCACCTCACTCTGTAATAGGGACACCCAAATACATTATAAATACTATAGACAGATCACATCACTCTGTAATAGGGACACCCTAATACACTATAAATACTATAGACAGATCACATCACTCTGTAATATTGACACCCTAATACACTATAAATACTATAGACAGATCACCTCACTCTGTACTAGGGACACCCTAATACACTATAAATACTATAGACAGATCACATCACTCTGTAATAGGGACACCCTAATACACTATAAATACTATAGACAGATCACATCACTCTGTACTAGGGACACCCTAATACACTATAAATACTATAGACAGATCACATCACTCTGTACTAGGGACACCCTAATACACTATAAATACTATAGACAGATCACATCTCTCTGTACTAGGGACACCCTAATAAATACTATAGACAGATCACCTCACTCTGTACTAGGGACACCCTAATACACTATAAATACTATAGACAGATCACCTCACTCTGTAATAGGGACACCCAAATACATTATAAATACTATAGACAGATCACATCACTCTGTAATAGGGACACCCTAATACATTATAAATACTATAGACAGATCACATCACTCTGTAATAGGGACATCCTAATACACTATAAATACTATAGACAGATCACATCACTCTGTAATAGGGACACCCTAATACACTATAAATACTATAGACAGATCACCTCACTCTGTAATAGGGACACCCAAATACATTATAAATACTATAGACAGATCACATCACTCTGTAATAGGGACATCCTAATACACTATAAATAATATAGACAGATCACATCACTCTGTAATTGGGACACCCAAATACATTATGAATACTATAGACAGATCACCTCACTCTGTAATAGGAACAACCTAATACACTAAAAATACTATAGACTGATCACATCACTCTGTAATAGGGACACCCAAATACATTATAAATACTATAGACAGATCACCTCACTCTGTACTAGGGACACCCTTAGAAACACTCTGTACTAGGGACATCCTAATACACTATAAATACTACAGACAGATCACATCTCTCTGTACTAGGGACACCCTAATACACTATCAATACTGTAGACAGATCACCTCACATACTATAGACAGATCACTCTGTAATAGGGACACCCTAATACACTATAAATACTATAGACAGATCACATCACTCTGTAATAGGGACACCCAAATACATTATAAATACTATAGACAGATCACCTCACTCTGTACTAGGAACACCCTAATACACTATAAATACTATAGACAGATCACCTCACTCTGTACTAGGGACACCCTAATACACTATAAATACTATAGACAGATCACCTCACTCTGTACTAGGGACACCCTAATACACTATAAATACTATAGACAGATCACCTCACTCTGTAATAGGGACACCCAAATACATTATAAATACTATAGTCAGATCACATCACTCTGTAATAGGGACACCCAAATACATTATAAATACTATAGACAGATCACATCACTCTGTAATAGGGACACCCAAATACATTATAAATAATATAGACATAGCCTTGATTTTCTTTTATGACTTATGTATCAAGCATAAATGTGCACTTTATTTTCAAGAAAATTGTGCACTGAAACATAATATTATAATACTTCTTGAGAGAGGGTGGTAAAAATCTCAAAAAACCATCAAGCTGATTCATAATCAGGGTTCTATGGATAACATTGTTGAAACATTAAAAATGGGTCTGTAAAGCAGCAAGACATATGATATTTGACAGGTGAAGTAATATAAACTGCCTCAAAGTTTGCTGTAAGAACAAGATGAGTATTTGACGGCAGTTTACTGTTTAAGGTTAGATAGTTTAGTTTACTCTTTTAGACCTAAATGTTTCAAATATTCAGATAAAAACATCTGCCATGAAGCATTACATTAACGGGAACATTTAGGATTTCAGACTATATTCAATGCCACTGACTTTACATTTTGTAGAACAGCAAACGTCGTATTAAGAACTAAAATGATTAGAGACAATAAGCTTTGCAGTTACATGAGGAAAACACATTTTTTTGACACAATTTTCATGTCACATAGTTTGTTTTGGAAAAGCATTGAATGACAGGTGGACGATAGAAACAATTCTTGACTGCTCTGACAGATATGTAAAAAACACAAAAAAATATATTACACACAACATTCATTTCATTTTTGTATTATCTGCATATATTTACATTTTTCGGTAGTAAATGACCCTATAACCTTTGTAATGCTAGTCTCTTTCATGCCTGTAGTGATATGATGTTATGGATGAAGGACTCCTTCATGCACAAAGTCATTGTACCATCCACTACAGGTGAATTTGCACATTTTAGAATGTCCAAAACTGTAAAAAGTCCAAAATATGGTCCTTATAAGTTATCTTTGTCAATCTTCTGATGCATTTTTGAATGAATCTCAATGGAACAAGCATTTGAATTTTATACCTGTACTTAAGGAATGACATATGAACATATGTAAAGTATTAAAAAATGTTGGTTTTGTTGTTGTGGGATAAGAATGTATGAAACAATAGGTTATTCCATGATGGTATTTTTGAAACAGCAATCTGAATGATTTCAGTAGATTTATGTCCGTAAACATTAGAGTTTTATTCAGTCTACAGAAAGTTAATCCTTCTGTGTACATACAAGATAAATTGTGTCGACAGTTTTTGATTGAGTCTGCAGACTTAACACTGTTACAGGAGATGAAGATTTGTACCAGGGAGCCTGTGCTTAAAGAGAAGTCCCGAGGTGAAGTGCTGCTTTTGCATGGGCAGAAATTCACATCAGAGACTTGGGAGGCAAAGTGCCCCACCCTACAATTCCTCGGGGCAGCTGGATACCGTGCGGTTGCAGTCGACCTCCCAAGTAAGTACCGAGTATATGATACCTTCCCATCAAATTGAAGTCATCCCTTTATTGCATGCAATTGCTTTACAGAGTTATCAAACTCACTATGTTTACATTTATATACATAGTAAGCCATTTCACTTCAACTGAATTAATATTATGTTTATACTAAACATGGAGGTCTGCAACACGTAGATTTTACGACAAATTAACTTCAGTAGTTATAGTAGAGCTATAAACAGATGAGAGTTTCAAGACAAGGTCATCTTAATGGTTATAAACATGGTAGAGTTTAACAACAAGTTCACTTTAATGGTTATAAATATGGTAGAGGTTACAACAAGTTCACTTAATGGTTATAAACATGGTAGACTTTAACGACAAGTTCACTTTAATGGTTATCAATATGGTAGAGTTTATAGACAAGTTCACTTAATGGTTATAAACATGGTAGACTTTAACGACAAGTTCACTTTAATGGTTATAAACATGGTAGAGGTTAACGACAAGTTCACTTTAATGGTTATTAACATGGTAGAGTTTAATGACAAGTTCACTTTAATGGTTATAAACATGGTAGATATTAACGACAAGTTCACTTTAATGGTTATAAACATGGTAGAGTTTAACAACAAGTTCACTTTAATGGTTATTAACATGGTAGAGTTTAATGGCAAGTTCACTTTAATGGTTATTAACATGGAAGAGGTTAACGACAAGTTCACTTTAATGGTTATAAACATGGTAGAGGTTAACGACAAGTTCACTTTAATGGTTATAAACATGGTAGAGGTTAACGACAAGTTCACTTTAATGGTTATAAACATGGTAGAGTTTAACGACAATTTCACTTTAATGGTTATAAACATGGTAGAGTTAAATGACAAGTTCACTTTAATGGTTATAAACATGGTAGATATTAACGACAAGTTCACTTTAATGGTTATAAACATGGTAGAGTTTAACGACAATTTCACTTTAATGGTTATAAACATGGTAGAGGTTAACGACAAGTTCACTTTAATGGTTATAAACATGGTAGAGGTTAACGACAAGTTCACTTTAATGGTTATTAACATGGTAGAGTTTAACGTCAAGTTCACTTCAAGGTTATAAACATGGTAGAGTTTAATGACAAGTTGACTTTAATGGTTATAAACATGGTAGATATTAACGACAAGTTCACTTTAATGGTTATTAACATGGTAGAGTTTAATGACAAGTTCACTTTAATGGTTATAAACATGGTAGACAAGTTCACTTTAATGGTTATAAACACAAGTTCACTTTAATGGTTATAAACATGGTAGAGTTTAACGACAAGTTCACTTTAATGGTTATAAACATGGTAGAGTTTAACGACAAGTTCACTTTAATGGTTATAAACATGGTAGAGTTTAACGACAATTTCACTTTAATGGTTATAAACATGGTAGAGTTAAATGACAAGTTCACTTTAATGGTTATAAACATGGTAGAGGTTAACGACAAGTTCACTTTAATGGTTATTAACATGGTAGAGTTTAATGACAAGTTCACTTTAATGGTTATAAACATGGTAGAGTTTAACGACAAGTTCACTTTAATGGTTATAAACATGGTAGAGTTTAACGACAAGTTCACTTTAATGGTTATAAACATGGTAGAGTTAAACGACAAGTTCACTTTAATGGTTATAAACATGGTAGAGTTTAACGACAAGTTCACTTTAATGGTTATAAACATGGTAGAGTTTGACAAGTTCACTGACAAGTTCAATTTAATGGTTATAAACATGGTAGAGTTTAACGACAAGTTCACTTTAATGGTTATAAACATGGTAGAGGTTAACGACATGTTCACTTTAATGGTTATAAACATGGTAGAGTTTAACGACAAGTTCACTAATGACAAGTTACTTTAATGGTTAAATAAACATGACAAGTTCACTGTAATGGTTATAAACATGATATATATTAACGACAAGTTCACTTTAATGGTTATAAACATGGTAGAGTTTAACGACAAGTTCACTTTAATGGTTATAAACATGGTAGAGTTTAATGGTTATAAACAAGTTCACTTTAATGGTTATTAACATGGTAGAGTTTAATGACAAGTTCACTTTAATAGTTATAAACATGGTAGAGTTTAACGACATGTTCACTTTAATGGTTATAAATATGGTAGAGGTTAACGACAAGTTCACTGTAATGGTTATTAACATCGTAGATATTAACGACAAGTTCACTTTAATGGTTATAAACATGGTAGAGTTTAACGACAAGTTCACTGTAATGGTTATTAACATGGTAGAGTTTAATGACAAGTTCACTTTAATGGTTATAAACATGGTAGAGTTGAACGACAAGATCACTGTAATGGTTATTAATATGGTAGAGTTAATGACTTTAATGGTTATAAACAACAACAAGTTCACTTTAATGGTTTAACATGGTAGAGTTTAATGACAAGTTCACTTTAATGGTTATAAACATGGTTAGTTAAAACAAGTTCACTTTAATGGTTATAAACATGGTTTATTAACGACAAGTTCACTTTAATGGTTATAAACATGGTAGAGGTTAACGACAAGTTCAATTTAATGGTTATAAACATGGTAGAGGTTAACGACAAGTTCACTTTAATGGTTATAAACATAGAAACACTTTAATGGTTATAAACATGGTAGAGTTAAATGACAAGTTCACTTTAATGGTTATAAACATGGTAGATATTAACAACAAGTTCACTGTAATGGTTATTAACATGGTAGAGTTTAATGACAAGTTCACTTTAATGGTTATAAACATGGTAGAGTTGAACGACAAGATCACTGTAATGGTTATTAATATGGTAGAGTTGAATGACAAGTTCACTGTAATGGTTAGAAACATGATAGATATTAACGACAAGTTCACTTTAATGGTTATAAACATGGTAGAGGTTAACGACAAGTTCATTTTAATGGTTATAAACATGGTAGAGGTTAACGACAAGTTCACTTTAATGGTTATTAACATGGTAGAGTTTAACGTCAAGTGTACTTCAAGGTTATAAACATGGTAGAGTTTAATGACAAGTTCACTTTAATGGTTATAAACATGGTAGAGTTAAATGACAAGTTCACTTTAATGGTTATAAACATGATAGATATTAACGACAAGTTCACTTTAATGGTTATAAACATGATAGATATTAACGACAAGTTCACTTTAATGGTTATCAACATGGTAGAGTTTAATGACCAGTTCACTTTAATGGTTATTAACATGGTAGAGGTTAATGTCAAGTTACTTTAATGGTTATAAACATGGTAGAGTTCACTTTAATGGTTATAAACATGGTGACAAGTTCACTTTAATGGTTATAAACATGGTAGAGTTTAATGACAAGTTGACTTTAATGGTTATAAACATGGGATATTAGTTCACTTTAAGTTAAATGACAAGTTCACTTTAATGGTTATAAACATGATAGATATTAACGACAAGTTCACTTTAATGGTTATAAACATGGTAGAGTTAAAACAAGTTCACTTTAACAAGTTCAGTTCACTTTAATGGTTATTAACATGGTAGAGTTTAATGACCAGTTCACTTTAATGGTTATTAACATGGTAGAGTTTAAAGACAAGTTCAATTTAATGGTTATAAACACGGTAGAGTTGAACGACAAGTTCACTTTAATGGTTATAAACATGGTAGAGGTTAACGACAAGTTCACTTTAATGGTTATTAACATGGTAGAGGTTAACGACAAGTTCACTTTAAGGTTATAAACATAGTAGAGTTTAATAACAAGTTCACTTTAATGGTTATCAACATGGTAGAGTTTAACGTCAAGATCACTGTAATGGTTATTAATATGGTAGAGTTGAATGACAAGTTCACTTTAATGGTTATAAACATGATAGATATTAACGACAAGTTCACTTTAATGGTTATAAACATGGTAGAGTTTAACGACAATTTCACTTTAATGGTTATAAACATGGTAGAGTTAAATGACAAGTTCACTTTAATGGTTATAAACATGGTAGATATTAACAAGTTCATTTTAATGGTTATAAACATGGTAGAGTTTAACAACAAGTTAACTTTAATGGTTATAAACAGTTAACGACAAGTTAATGGTTATAAAATGGTTTTAATGACAAGTTCACTTTAATGGGTAGTTCACTTTAATGGTTTAAACGACAAGTTCACTTCAAGGTTATAAACATGGTAGAGTTTAATGACAAGTTGACTTTAATGGTTATAAACATGGTAGATATTAACGACAAGTTCACTTTAATGGTTATTAACATGGTAGAGTTTAATGACCAGTTCACTTTAATGGTTATTAACATGGTAGAGTTTAATGACAAGTTCACTTTAATGGTTATAAACATGATAGATATTAACGACAAGTTCACTTTAATGGTTATTAACATGGTAGAGTTAAATGACAAGTTCACTGTAATGGTTATTAACATGGTAGAGGTTAACGACAAGTTCACTTTAAGATTATAAACATGTTTGAGTTTAATAACAAGTTCACTTTAATGGTTATTAACATGGTAGAGTTTAATGTCAAGTGTACTTCAAGGTTATAAACATGGTAGAGTTTAATGACAAGTTCACTTTAATGGTTATAAACATGATAGATATTAACGACAATTTCACTTTAATGGTTATAAACATGGTAGAGTTAAATGACAAGTTCACTGTAATGGTTATAAACATGGTAGATATTAACGACAAGTTCACTTTAATGGTTATAAACATGGTAGAGTTGAACGACAAGTTCACTGTAATGGTTATAAACATGGTAGATATTAACGACAAGTTCACTTTAATGGTTATAAACATGGTAGAGTTTAACAACAAGTTCACTTTAATGGTTATTAACATGGTAGAGGTTAACGACAAGTTCACTTTAAGGTTATAAACATGGTAGAGTTTAATAACAAGTTCATTTTAATGGTTATTAACATGGTAGAGTTTAACGTCAAATGTACTTAAAGGTTATAAACATGGTAGAGTTTAATGACAAGT